CTCTGCACTTGGCCCGCCGCAGAGGCCGTAGACTGCCAGTTCTCTTTTTTTCCTTTCTGTTTTACCGCCGCGGCTAGCGGGGGATTTCCACCCAGGGACTTTCCGAGTCACGTAACGCCGCCATCCAGTGCTGTAAAGAGCCGACGACGGCCCGCAGGGGTCGCAGGAGAGTAACCGAGCTGCGGCCCGCCCGCCCCTCCCCTCCCACCGCGCGAGAAACTCCTGCGCCCCGCCCCGGGGTGTCCCCGCGTGAGTCACCTGGGCATTTCGGAAGCTGGGCCCAACGTCACATCCATGTGGAAATCGCGGTGATGGGAACTGGAAATGAAATAGGTTTTTTTTTTGTTTTTTTTTTTTCTCAGCCGTTTTTCTGCAGAAAATCATCAACTGTGGAGAACAAGAAGGGAAATAATAAAGAAAGAAAACCCTAAAAACCACCTTGGCGTCCGAGACCTCAGGCCTCAGGGCAGGTTCGAAAAGCTTGGGCTGTGCACATGATGCGCTCGTAGAGGAGCTCCTTACCCTGGGCCCCTTGGCTCCCCAAGGGGATTTCTAGTAAAAGCAGCAGTCGCAGCCTTGCCCTTCATCCCCAGCGTTCCTGCCAGCCGGGCCCCCAGGCTGATGGGATGCAGGTCTGAGGTGACAACAGATCCCGTAGCCCTGCAGCCTTAAAATTCGCAGGAACCAGGCAGAGCTTAGATAAAATTAGGAATCTGAACAACTACCAACCCCATTCAACACTTGATTGATTTCCTCTTGCCCATTTCTGCACACCAGGTGCCCAGGTGGCACCACATTCAGGTAGCATTTCAGTTTAGAAATCACTTCTAGTCCATGACTGCCCTTGCTATGTCCTCCCGCTAAGATCTTATTAGGAGTCTTTTTAGATGTCCTAATAATCACCCCAAGGTGCCAATGGGGTGATTTTTACACCACTCCCCTTTATTAAATAGCATGGTAACCCATTGTCTTCACCCAGAGGGTGTCCTGTGGAATTATGTGTCTACCACCTGGGCAGTGGAGGTGCAAGAGTTGTGGAGAGAGGGGTGTTAGGCCCTTTTACCACTTCCTCTGCCCATTTCCCAGAATGGCTAACTAAACTAGGACCAGATTGAAATATTCTGTACCATTTTCCCCTTGTAGACTTAAAAAAGGCTATATATATCTCATGTTTTGAATAGAAAAAAATATACTCCTTTATCCAGCAAGGACCTGCAGTGACTGAGAGGGGGCCTGGAAGAAGGGTTCTATTTCCATTTTTTTTTTTTTTTTAGCAAAGGGAAACTTAGAGCAGAGTCAGTAGTAGCCAAGGCCCCACAGCTGATGCAGGTCATTTAAAATGATGGCTGGAATTTTTTCGAAATCCAAACCTCCTGATATTTGTTCTCTTTTTGTTCACAAATATTTTTAGGTGCCAACGGTCAAACGATGGACAGTCAAGCTAATAATAATTCATAATAATGTCTATCAAGTCCTTACTGTATGTCAATCTTAAGGTGAAATGTTTGAAATGCATTCTGCCATTTAAACCTCACAACAACTCCACTTTGCAGCTGAAGAAGTTGAAGTTTAAAAAGCTTAAGCCGTTTGCCCAAAGTCTACACAATCAGTAAGTGGCAGAGCCGTGACTGGCACTGGGCCCATCTTACTTCAAAGTCCACAATCTGAAATCTCAACTATTAGACATTAGTCTCAGGAAAGATCCTACAAGACTGAGTCTCAGGGCCCCCCTTTGTATTCTGGCCCCCAGCCTCACAACACATGGCAGTCGTTTGTCACTTAGCCAAACATGGACATGGACATTGGGCAGGGGGCAGAATATGAACTTGGGAAGCCAGACAGCCTTGATTCTATCCTCAAGAAACTTCGCTGGGCTGATCGAGATGATAAAAAGTGAGGTTCTCCTCAATCCTCACACTGCTCCCTGCTTGTGCTCCTTTGAAACAGAATTTTCCTGCTGTCTTTCATCTCTCCGGCTCTGGGCCCTGATCTCCTCCTATATCCTCCACTGCCCCTTTCCGGGTTGATGTCTGCTCCCTGACTTGATGAGCTAGGAATGCAATAATGGGAGTAACAAGCCTGAAAGAGCTGGTCATATCTGCTGCTTCTGATTATCCCGAGGTCGGTACTATGTCACCTTGCCTACCAGGATTTGTGACAAGGTCATTGCAGTCAGGTGCAGGAGTGGTCTGTAGTCCTCAGTTTTGCTCTGCCCCCACTTCCCGTAATTCTACTACTGGAGGGATGGTCTCTCTGAGGAGGCATTCTTAGTCCCTCCCTTGCCACTCTGTTAATCAGGGCTCCTCTGGCTGATTACACTTTTCTCTTTCTAATCCTTAACAGAAGGGCAAGACCAATAATAACTTTCTTAGTAATGAATCAAAAGGAAAGAGTAGAAGAGGGAGAACGTAGAAGGAAAGAGTCCTTATGAGAAAGAAGATGAAAAATTTGGGGAGATTTCTGGAATGAGTTGAAGCCAAAGAGATATAGAGTGTCCAAAAGCCTTGCAAGGGACTTTAATTTCTTCAATAGATCTTATCAAGATGAACAGAACTTGGCAAAGAGAAGAGAATATTGATTAACACCCAGCAGACACGTAGGAGAAAAAAGACGTGTTTCATTCGAAGGAAAAAGAAACCTGGTTATGCGGCGTGTTTTGGAGTGTTCCTGAGTTGTGTGCCATTTTCACCATGGTGACAGCATTCACATATCATGAAATGTATACAGTGAGCACACATTACCTCTTAGAATTAGACAGTCTGTGGGCCTGTGCCTGAACCTGTATGTTTATGCCACACAGTGAAGAAGATGGGCAATCCGGAGATAGTGGGAGGCAGGAGAAACACGTTTAATGAGAGCAGATACGGCAGCTGAGCAGGGGACCCGAATCTGGCTCAGCTCAAACCAGAGTTCGTGAACCTTGAAATCAAGAAACGGTCACGGTGTATTTCTGAAAGTGTTTGTAATTGCAGGTCA